AACTTCGAGGACAGAAAACAGAAAGAGTAAAATAGTGACTCCTAAAAAAACAAAACAAGGAGGAGTGGATGGTGCAGGTAGGAACAGCTAATGTTTGCCGTTTATACTGAACATGTTTCTGAAAACAGCCAAACGGCATTTTATGAGACTCCAAACAGGAAGACAGACGTTTCAGTTTTCCTTCTGGTCCCACAGAAGAAGCCAAGGTTGGATGGATTAAGGGTCTCAGATTGAGGGGTAGAACAGGAGGCTCTAAAGGCTCTCCAGGAGCTCATGGCTGCTGCTTCTGTATCTCTCACTATAATGAGATCAACAAAGAAAGGAGCCTAATTAGAGGCGACTGTAGTCCCCAGTAAGGAACCAGATTCCTCTGTTCATTCCCTCATTAGAACAATCAGGTGGATTCTATCCGTCTAAAGCCTTTTCTATCCATTTGTTAATATCTCCTAGATCTGGACTCTGGTTTATCCCACACGGGCCAGGAAAGTTTCCAGACGACAGTAACAGACCCTCTGATGAACTAAACGGGATGAAATGAAAGCCTTTACCAGGCTGCGAAGTGGAGTGGTCTGTGTCTGCTGCTCCGTTTCTTCAACTCTCTTCCTCTCCCACTGATCTAGAGTCTGAAAGACAAAACCAGAAAGGAATCACATAAAATAGAACATTTATATCCGATTCTGCAGAACAGTTCTATGTCATCAGTTCTAGATATTTCCCTGACTGAAAACAGTCAAAGAAAATCAATGATAACAGAACATCTCACAGGGGAACTCTGCAGAAATCAGCATCAATGACTCGATGGAAGCTGGAATTGGATGTTATTCTGTGGTGCATGATGTGATAATAATAAAAGTGACTTTATTTCCAACATCTGCTCAGTCTGTTCCAGGCTGCTGCAGATCTGTGTCTGCAGGCTGAAGCTGCCAAAGATTAACAGCTGCTCATTGGGAGCTTCCCTGTTTGGAAATCAGCGTCTTCAGGACGTCGGTCACATAACGTCTGATCCTCAGAGCTCATCTGCTCACAGCAGCTGCATTTAATCACACGTTTTGATCTAATGAGGCTTTTCATGGAGAAAATTATTCTGAAACAGCAGACACGTTTTTTGGGGGTTTCTCATTGGTTGGAATTCAGTTTTTCACCTACAGGAAAATCTTATTTTACAGCCGAGTTTCTTTGACTTTTTGTTTTTGAACAGTTTAAACAAACATGTTTACCTGAAGGGGGGGGTCATCTAATGCTGGTCAATGAGTTTTTTTTTATCAAGTTTAGAGGAGTCAAAGCAAAGAGCACTTTACCAACTGTTAGCCACAGCAGTGGCTGCATCATGCTCTGGGGCTTTTTCACTACCTTTGCTACAAACGCATCAGACAACGTCATCAGAAAGAAGGAGAATTGTTCCTTCACCTGAAATCCTGATCTGGATGGTTGAAGGACACCCGAACGCACCGTGACAGGCTCTTATAAAGGACACAGAAAGCTAAGACCAAACCTCCAGGGAGGTTTAAACAAAACCTTCAAATTCTCCAAAGAACAGCTGTGAAATTTTAACCCTGAATGGATCCAAAAAAAATAATTTAGGAAAAAATAATGTGTGGAGATAAAACTACCTGAATCAGGACTGGAACGTTTAACAGGTTATTAATATAGCTGTTAACTAATGCAGTAATAAACCATTAATTAGCTTAAAGAGATTAAATAAATAAAAGGCCGCTCCCTGAACTCAGCCAGGGCAAATAAACCGGAACAATTGGCTTTTAGCGGCAGTGAGAACAGCTCAGTGACGCGTGTCTACCTGGGTCAATTAACTCAGACAGCGACCCGCGTTAAAACTCCTCGGCTCTGATCGGCATGCTGTGGGAACGCCAGAGCTGGGTGGACCTGCTACATTACGTGATGCCATTGAACACAACGTATGGACGTCAACACGCGGCGTCAGTCGCTTCTGATCTAACAAGCGGAAACATGATAAACATGGAGCAGAAAAACAATAAAGCTCACTGACTACGCCCTGGCTTCCTGTCATGATGCTCTACGTTGTTTACTTCCCTGATTTCTGTCACACTAGTGACATCATCAAACCCAGAGTGATGATGTCACCAGACATGCAGCGGCAGGGGGAAAGAGGCCACGCAGCTGCCAGCGAGGTGTTAGAGCAGCTTTATTAGCCAATGGGAATGGAGCTAAATGCTAAGAGTTAGCGGGTCGACCCATGTTTGAAAAAGACGCTTTAAGCTTCTATTCTCGGTGGGAAAGAGGCTTACGAGTGGAAGATGTGATCGATCAGAGCCATGGGGTAACTTCAGGGGGAGAAGAACGTGTTTTAAATCCTGGAACCTCGGCCGCTGCAGCAGTGAGCAGCAGAGCGCCTCGTTCCTCATCATGAAACATGAGAGGTTTCTGATAACAAGCTAACGAACAGAAAGGAAAAGCTCCGTCATGAGGCTGACGGGCCTGTGAACACAGGAAGGAACTTTGACAGGCTGATTATAGGGACTGTAGATGAGAATCAGCCTGAAAGAGAACCCACTGACCGGCTGCTTCTCTTTCCAATAAACAAACCCTCAACAAGTGGGAATAATCATAAAATGATTTGAAGCCCCGCCTCTGACCCTGACCCTCTGACCCGCGGCTCAGAACGTTAGCAGACTGACCTTGGCTTCGTCCAGAGGTCCGTTCCTGGCGGAAAGTCCTGGAGAGACTTCCGTCTGGCTCAAGGCGTAGCTGTGGTTGGAGGACGAGCCTGGCCCGCTCACCATGCTCTGCAAAGAATGGTTCTCCTGAGCCAGCCTCTCCACCAGCGCCCTGGCCTCCTGAAATCGGCAGCTGAGAAATTCCCGCTCCTGCCGCGCTCGTCGCTGCCATCCTTCCATCTCCTCGCAGCGCTGACGCAGGGCTTGGTTGCTCCTCCGTAGAGCATCTGAGGAACAGAGATATGAGAGAGTCCATAAACATCCTCTCCCACTGGAATACAAAGAAGCCTGCTTTGATATTTTTCATTTTAGATATACCTTAAATAAATAAATAAATACTCCTAAATATTCTTTATGACAAACTTCTGAAGGAAGTTGTCCTTCTGTTGGATCTTTTTAAAAAAGGCCGGAGATGGAAAAACAGTCTGAACACCATGACCAACACTAACAGGAGGATCTCAGCGGTTTGAGGTCAGAGAAATATGCTGAGCTTTAACTTTAAACCCGGCTTCTAAAAGCTCAGAATAGTAAAGCTGGAGGAGCTCTGGCTCTGATGAGAGTTGTTAAAAGCTTCCTGAGCTCCTTTCCTTTGTGGCTACAGCATTGAAACCCTGGACCGGCCTCAATCTGTGGACCAGTCTTAAACCCTGCACCAGAATGCCCCTCGGTCTGCGGTTCTCACAGATCTGCCCCTTTTTAAGTCCAGATTAAAGACTTATTTTCTTAACACACTGATTTATGATTAGGATTTTGGTTTTTACCAAGCTTGTATCTTTGTGTGAAACATGTTGGTCTCCCAGGTGTTAAAATAAACCTTGATTGATTGACTGGAGACGCTCTTATTCAAAGCCATGAAGAGGCTGTTGGAATCAAACACCGGTTTAAGCTTAACATTATATTTAAGACATTGATCTACTGATAAATCTTTCNATGACCAACACTAACAGGAGGATCTCAGCGGTTTGAGGCTCCAGCAGGTCAGAGAAATATGCTGAGCTTTAACTTTAAACCCGGCTTCTAAAAGCTCAGAATAGTAAAGCTGGAGGAGCTCTGGCTCTGATGAGAGTTGTTAAAAGCTTCCTGAGCTCCTTTCCTTTGTGGCTACAGCATTGAAACCCTGGACCGGCCTCAATCTGTGGACCAGTCTTAAACCCTGCACCAGAATGCCCCTCGGTCTGCGGTTCTCACAGATCTGCCCCTTTTTAAGTCCAGATTAAAGACTTATTTTCTTAACACACTGATTTATGATTAGGATTTTGGTTTTTACCAAGCTTGTATCTTTGTGTGAAACATGTTGGTCTCCCAGGTGTTAAAATAAACCTTGATTGATTGACTGGAGACGCTCTTATTCAAAGCCATGAAGAGGCTGTTGGAATCAAACACCGTTTTAAGCTTAACAATAAATTTAAGACATTGATCTACTGATAAATCTTTCTAAATGTTTCTCATGTTTGGTTTGACAGAAGAGGCCAAAAGTGTTTTAATTATTATTCAGTGTTTTATTAAGGGTTTCAGTCCCATCAGCTTCATCCAACAGCAGCAGCTTTCACAAAGAGGAGAACCTGAAACAAACAGGCGGCCTGTAGAGCTGAACATCATCAGCATAGAAACGATGGGAAACGTCAGACGGCTGCATGATTATTGGGCCAAACATTAAAAACAAAGAGAGCAGGTCTGAAGACTGAGCCCTGTGGTGTCCCACATGGAAGAATCTCTGAGTCCAACACTTTAACCAAACAGGACTTCAACTGCTGTAAAACCTCAACTGACTCACCCACTACATCTCAAACTGTATTATAATGAGCTGCAGAATGAAATTCAGAGATGGACTGGGACAAGAAAACAGCGAGAAGCAGCTCCCACATCATGAGGAAACATCTGGATTCAGCAAGAACCTGCACCCCTAAATAACGGAGAAAATGGCGTTTATGATTTTATGTGAAGTCAGTACCTCGCAGCTGCTGGTTGTCGCCCAGTAGTCTGGTCACCACTTCGTTTCCAGCGAGCTCCGGCGGGACCCTTAGGGTCCCTCCGCTGTCCTCCCCAGACATGTCCCACTGCATGGGGCCATCAGGCTGCGGCTGCACCATCTACACAGGCAGGAGGAACGCAGATGACGGACAGGATGTGTACAGTGGAAAAAATGTCTGACAAATTTCAAACTATTCTCTTCAATTTCACTGTGATGAACTAAAAACTACATGAAAGTTTGTGTTTGGAAAAGCTCCCAGTGTAGGATTATTTCTTCACTTCATTTTATGAATGAACTAAATGATTTTTATTAATCTTAAGTTTTAAAATCTTTAATGATTAATCAAATAGGAATATAAAATTAATCTCTAGGTGTCCCAGCAACTGGAGAAAGCAGATTAACTAAATCATTCAGAAAAAGAGAAAGATTAAAAACATACTTTATAGAAATCAAATATCTGACAATCTTATATAAAATATGTCCAACTGGATAAGGACATTATAAAAGACACTTTTATAGAGAACAACAGCAGGTGTTTACATAAATAAAAAGTTTTTTTCCTAAATATATTCTAACAGCAAATAAAACCTGTTTCCGCCGCTGATGGGGGCCAGCTTTAGCTTTCACTTTCATTTAGACCCCGGACTAAATGGTCCATAGATAGAGAAGCCATCAGATCAGTGGCCTAATCTCAGATTAGGTCATCTATGTTAAAAAGCAGACCTCCTTTAAACCAGGTTAACCTGTTTACATGTGAGCAGGAGCCGAAAAAACAACAACTTCATCGCTTAAGGAGCCGAAATCACCCGGAAATTAACTCTAACGCGGGAAAATAATATAATAAAACACAAAAAAGCATAAAACAAATAAACTCCCAAAAACGATGGGAGTTAAAAGGCATTTGTTGGAATAATCTGGTGACATCTACAGCACGTTAGCATGAAAGCTAACGTTAAATGTTAACGTCTAAAGAAAGAGACTTTTACTAACAATAAGTCACATTTACAGTCAGAATAAATAAAATCAAACCTTTGGTTGTTTTTAGTTTCGATGTCCAGAATAAAAGCAGTCAGTCAGGCTGTCAGAAACAGTCAAACAGTTGATCTAGACAGCTGCTAGCAGCAGGAAGCTAACGGCTAATTAGCCTGAGAAGCTAATGGGGCAAACTGGCAGCTGGACAAATGAAGCAGCTTTTCTAACTATAATAAACATCAGTCTAAATCAACCAGCTAAATGTTTCCCAGGAGGCATTTGTCCTGTTTTGTCACTAATCTCGTTGTGGATTGAAGATAATCTGAATAAATCTGACGATCCGGAGAGCCGTTAGCCCAGCGACGCACGAGGATTTTATCCTGAGCTTTGACTGTCAGGCAGAAATATCTTTACATCCTTCCTTACATGAGGCTTTTCTTTTCTAAAGCTGAACTCCAACGGTCATTAGCATGTCTTCATTTTTTTCCTTATGTCTTGTATAAATTATGCTGTTTAGATTGTTACTGGGAAAGATTCACTTTAAGGAAATAATCTAATCTAACAGCTGGAATTATGAATTAAATAATGACATTAACCATTTGGTTTAATTGGATGGGTGGATCACAACAAGAGAAATATAACTTATGTTTGATCCTCGGTCCTTTATTTATCATGGAATAATCTAATGTAATGCAAAAAGGAAAAAGCATTTGAAGTTTTAACAGAATGTATTCCAATTATAAGAAAACATTTGATAATAAGAAAATAAGACAGAGAAACGTCTCCTGCACCTAAATCCTCCACCGGCAGAAGGAAAGGGAGCAATAACTTAAATTATTGCATAAAGTAACAGAAATACACAGATCAGCATATATGAATAACATTTCTACATCTATCTCTGACATTTAAACTGTTTTAAACTTGGAAATAAGACACACAACTAAGATACAGTATAAATATAATTCATATCTTTGGTCAAATGTTGTCAAAGTTTGATGCTGCATGATAGAAGAAACTGTAAAACTATTTAAATCTTCAGGAGTTTGTTACCAGACTTCCACTTCTATTTAAGATTTAAAAAAAAATATCCATATTTAGATTGTAACAATAATCATGATAACCTTTGCTTGTCATTAGAGCTATGTTTTTTTAAGATTCATTTGTTGTTATTTGTTAAATAGTTCCCCAGTATGAGGCCTTTTCTGGTAAGCACATGATCTAACTTATATAATATTTAATTGGGGATTTTTTTAAACGTGGAGCGTGTATAGGGAGCTTTAAACTTCCAAGGAAAAAACAAAAACAAAGCTGCTTTTGAAAGCGAATGTGCCTGTCAGTCTAAACCCAGGGCAGAGAGCTCCCAGGCAGCAGGAAATCCCCTTCCTTGTTCCGCAGAGAGGCTGCTGATGCTCGCTGCAGAAAAGGAGGCGACATGATGCTCTCCATCCCCGCCGCTGCTCTCTCTGTCCTGCTAGCCTGCATCCACACCAGCTATGCTCTCTACTTCCACATCGGAGAGACAGAGAAAAAATGCTTCGTGGAAGAGATTCCCGATGAGACCATGGTCATCGGTAAGCTAGCGGCTGGTTAGCATGAAACCAGCTAGCTATGCTAACAGCTGAAGCAGAATGATGACCTCACTGGCTGGATTGCTGGGATTCTATGAAACAATATGAAATTTGCACCTTGTTAGATTTAATATTCGCACTTTAACATGTTTTCACTTTTACCAAAGGAGTTGCTAGCTGTGGAGCTAAGAGCTGTGCGGCTAACAGCTGTGGAGCTAACAGCTATAAAGCTAACAGCTGTGCAGCTGACAGCTATAAAGCTAACAGCTGTGGAGCTACCAGCTATAAAGCTAACAGCTGTGCAGCTAAAATCTTTAAAGCTAATAGCTGTGAAGCTAATGGCTATTAAGCGAACAGCAATAAAGCTAACAGCTGTGGAGCTACCAGCTATAAAGCTAACAGCTGTGCAGCCAAAATCTTTAAAGCTAATAGCTGTGAAGCTAATGGCTATTAAGCGAACAGCAATAAAG